GAGAAGGTCCGCTCGCCTTGTAAGAAGCAGGGGTACTTCTAAGAAGCTATCCCTCCCCCCATGCGTAGGGGGAAGGGGGAGGGCCTCTTGGAAGGAGGCTGCTCCTTAAAGGAACCAGCCCGACATCTATATATATATATATAGAGAGAGAGAGAGAGAGAGAAAAAAAAAAAAAAAAAAAAAAAAAAGGCCCCCGCGCCTTCTAAGAAGCAGGGATGCTTCTGGGAAGCCTTCCCTCCTCCCCGTACCCCCTCTGCGCGTGGCTGAGGCTTAGCAGGAGGAAGGAGGAGGAGGAGGGGGAGGAGGAGGAGGGAGGAGGAGGAGGAGGGGAGGAGGGGGAGGAGGTGGATGAGGAGGAGGAGGAGGGGAGGAGGAGAAGGAGGGGGAGGAGGAGGGGGAGGAGGAGGAGGAGGAGGAGGAGGAGAGGGAGGAGGGGAAGGAGGAGGAGGGGGGAGGAGGAGGAGGAGGAGGAGGAGGAAAAGAAGGAGTGGCCGACGACGACCGGCGACCGACAACCGACGGCCGACGACCGACGACCGCCCGACTGGCGGGCGGCGAGCGGTGGAGCCCCACGGGCGGCAGCGGCGGAGGCGAGGGCGGCGGCGCGACGGCTGGCGGCGCGCACCGGGGGGCAAGTCCTCCTCCTCCTCCTCCTCCTCCTCCTGCTGCTCCTCCTCCTGATCCTCCCTCCTCCTCCTCCGCCTCCTCGTGCTACTCCTCCACCTTCTCCTCCCCCCTCCTCCCCTCCTCCTCCTCCCCTCCTCCTCCTCCTCCTCCTCCTCCTCCTCCCCTCCTCCTCCTCCTCCTCCTCCTCCTCCTCAGCCTCATCCTCCTCCTCCTCCTCCTCCTCCTGTTCTCCCTCTTCCTCCTCCTCCTCCCCTCAAAGGGGGTACGGTTAGGTCGTGCGCGTCCTTCTACAGGCGGATGTTGGACGAACAAAATGAAATCAAAAAACACACCAAAAATGAGCAAGCATGTTCAAAACATATCGTCCAAAAATATGCCGCCTGACCTCAGGGTGCGGTATAGTAGGAGCTCGAACACTAGAAACCTTCCACGAGAAACCCAACCCAGAGACCCCAGGACGTCCGTCGATGTCTGGCGTGGGAGCGTCACGCCTTTCACAGCAGAGCCATCGAGAACCGAGACATCCAGGGCACCCTGGAGGCAAGCAGGGTGTTTCTTGGCATGGGTTTCCACTGTAGGTTCGTGAGGCGTCGGCGCGCGCAAAGGTCGTTGACACCGCGTCGATGGTTCAACACCGAATCGATCGCGGCCCTGATCGTTCAAGGTTGAGTTCAGTCGGGTCCACTGGCGCTACCGTCCACCAATGCTTCCGCGTCGCAGAATTCAATCTTGAACGCCTTCGCCGGCGTCGCCGGCGCGCCAACGCCGCATGAACCTACCGTAGGGGGAGGGGGGAAGACCTCTCAGAAGGAGGCTGCTCCTCAGCAGGCGCAGGCCTTACATCTACAGATAAGGAGGCCCGCGCCTTCCGAGAGGCAGGGGTGCTTCTAAGAAGCCTTCCCCCCTCCCCCTCTGCCCCCCTCTGCGCGTGGCTGGGGATTAACAGGAGGAGGAGGAGGAGGAAGAGGAGGAGGGGGGAGGAGGGGGAGGGGGGAGGAGGGGGAGGAGGGAGGGGTATGAATGTAGGGGAGAGGAGAAGGAGGAGGGGATGAGGAGGGGACAGGAGAGGAGGGAGGAGGAGGAGGAGGAGTGATGAGGGGGAGGAGGTAGAGAGGGGGAGAGAGGAGGAGGAGGAGGAGGAGGAGGAGGAGGAGGAGGAAGGAGGAGGAAGGAGGGGACAGAGGAGGCGGAGGAGGCGGAGGATGTAGAGGAGGAGGGGGGGGGCGGGGCCTGTGGGAGCGCGTAGGTCCGCCTGCAGAGGGCATCCAGGGCGTCCGCGCGCAGCTCCAGCTGGCCATACGCGGGTGCCTCCGCGCGACGGCGGCATCCTCCTTTTCCTTATATCCCCTATCTCCTCCTTTTCACCCTCTCTCCTCCTCCCATCCCCCTCCTCCTCCCCCTGCCTCCTCCTCCTCCTCCTCCTCCCTTCCTCCTCCTCCTCCTCCTCCTCCTCCTCCTCCTCCGCCTCCTCCTCCTCTTCATCTTCCTCGTCCTCCTCCTCCTCTTCCTCCTCCCTCCTCCTCCTCCTCCTATTCTTCTTAGTATTCTTATTATTATTATTATTATTATTATTAGTGTATTATTCTTCTCTTTATTCTTCTTATTATTATGCTTATTACTATTATTAGTATTAATATTATTGTTAGTATTGTTATTAGTATTATTCTTAGTATTCTTATTAGTATTATTATTATTATTATTAGTATTAGTGTTCGTCTTAATATTCGTATTCGTCTTCTTATTATTCTTCTTATTATTATCAGTATTAATATTCGTCTTATTCTTCTTATTACTAATAGTCGTCTTAGTATTATTATTATTCATCTTATCAGTATTATTAATATTATTATCATTATTATTAGTATTATTATTGACAATAATACTATTATTAGTTGTACTACTATTGCTCTTATTATTCGTCTTCTTAGTATTAGTCTCATTCTTCTTATTAATACTATGTTTCTTCGTATTACTCGTCTTATTCTTATTAGTATTATTCTTATTAGTATTCGTAGTCGTCTTAGTATTCATCTTATTCTTATTAGTATTAATATTCGTCGTCTTATTAATATTATGGTTAGTTGTATTCTTAGTATTCGTAATATTGTTATTAGTATTATTAGTATGCTTATTATTCTTCTTAGTATCATTATTATTATTGTTCGTGTTATTATTATTAGTAGTATTATTATTATTCCTCCTCCTCCTCCTCCTCCTCCTCCTCCTCTTCCTCCTCCTCCTCCTCCTCCTTCGCCTCCTCCTCCCACTTTTCCTCCCCCCCTCCTCCTCCTCTTCCTCCTCCCCCTCCTCGTCCTCCTCGTCCTCCTCCGCCTCCTCCTCCTCCTCCTCCACCTCCTCCACCTCCTCCGTCCTCCTCCTCTCCTCTCCTCCGCCTCCTCCTCTCCTCCCTCCTCCTCCTTCCCCTCCTCTCCTCCTCCTCCTCCTCCTCCCTCCTCCTCCTCCTCCTCCTCCTCCTCCTCCTCCTCCTCCTCCTCCTCCTCACTCCTCCTTCCACCTCCTCCACCTCCTCCTCCTCCTCCTCCTCCTCCTCCTCTCCTCCTCGTCTCCTCCTCCTCCTCCTCTCCTCCTCCTCCCCTCCTCCCTCCTCCTCGCTCCTCCTCCTCCTCCTCCTCCTCCTCCCCCCCTTCGGAAACCCGGGGGGTCACTACCGGTTCGCACCCCCCCCCCCGAAAACCAGAGGAAGGTCACTACCGGTTCGAACCCTCACCCCCCTCCAGAAAAACAGTGGGGGTCACACCGGTTCGAGCCCTCCCCCCCTAAAACCAGGGGGGGGGTCACCAGGCCGGTTCGAACCCCACCCCCTCCCCCTCAAAACCCGGTGGGGGTCACTACCGGTTTTCCAACCCCCCCCCCCTCCCCTCCTCCTCGAAAACCGGGGGGGGCCCTGGCTTTCCCCCACCCACCCCTCACCGCCAGCAAACGACTCCCAGCCCTTACCGCCGTCCGCACCACATCCCTCACTGCTGTTCCCAGCACAACTGTCCTCACCACCATTGTCCCCACTGGTTCCACCACCGTCCCTACTGTCCCCACCAGTGCCCACCACTGTCCCCATTGTACCTCTGTCCCATTGTCCCACCGCCGCCCTGGCCACCGCCCTCACCACTGTCCCCACCACCACTGTACCCTCCACTGTCCCACTGTTTCCACCACATTCCCACTGTCCCCAGACCACTGTCCCCACCACCACCGTCCCCACCCCTGCCCCACTGTTCCCGCCATTGTCCCCCATGTCCCCACCAGCGCCCCCACCAGTGTCACTCTCCCCACCATTGTCCCACCACGGTCCCACTCTCCCCACTTTCCCCACGGTCCCCACCACTGTCCCACTGTCCCCACTGTACCCACTGCTGTCCCACTGCCCCCGCCGCTGTCCCACTGTGCTGTCCCAGCGTCCCCACTGTCCCCATCACTGTCCCACTGCCCCCCACTGTCCCCACCACTTTCCCCACCGTGCTACTGCCCCACCACTGTCCTCACCACCGCCTTCACCACTGTCCCCACCACTACCGTCCCCACCACTGTCCCACTGTCCCCACCACTGTCCCGCTGTCCCCTCACCACTGTCCCCACCACCACCGTCCCCACCACTGTCCGCACCCCCACCCCCCGCGGTTTTCCGTGGATCGGGGAGCGTAGCATCAGCATCAGCAGCATATGGGAGAGCATGCTGCGCATGGAATGAATTTGAGTTCCAGCACGCGTAGTTACAAGTTCCCGTGGTGCTGCCCCTATGTCTGCACGCGTAGTTACAAGTTCCCGTGGTGCTGCCCCTAGCACGCTGGAGAGAGGAGGAGTGGCGTAGTTTTCGGAAGATCTTTATCCCACAAAGTGGGATAACGCATGTTGACCGTGGGCCGACTTTGGCCTTGGTTGGCACGATAGCTTGCACCGCCATGTGTCTCAAGATCTCTGGGGGCTCAGCGGCAACGCCGCCTCCAGGGGTGGGTTGCAATGTATGTTGCGCTCTAGGTCAGCAGCTTCAGGCCGATGTTCGCCGTAACGCTGCACTTTTGGCTCAAGATGGAGCGGTCTGAGGAAAAACATCCTTTGCCCGTCCCGGTGAGGAAGAGGGGTCAGTCTCAGCGGCGACGCAGGCTGCTCCTCCGACTCTCCATTTCTTGCAACACCCTCCTTAGGTTGAAACTCAGGATCCCTATAGACAGCAGCCTCCGCCATGCTCTGCCCATACCCCCGGCAGAGGCCCATCGAGTGTTGAGCTTGATAGCTCAGGGAACCCCTCTCGACGACGTTGTCCACGAGGCTGAAGAGCAACAGTTTTGAAGATGGCATTTGATGAGTCGATCGTGCCCCATGCAGGGCCAGATGAGAGGAGAGCCCTGCAAAGGGTTATGAGCCCAAACGCTGCTACGATCCACGGCGCGCAGTTGGGGGCGCAAGTGCGACAGTGTGCCGCCTGCTTCGACTACGTCGTGGGCCCCGCCGTGCAGTGCGACAACTGCGGCGGGATTGTGCACGCCCACTGCATGCAGGTGTTCGGCCGGAGCCCTGTGTGCGTGACGTGCATCGCGGAGCGGGACGCCTTCGTGGCCGCGAGGCGCTCCACGATGATCCAGCACGGCGCGCAGCAGTTCGGCCGCGCGCTGGCTTCTGGTGGGCAGCTTGCCGGCCAGGTCGTCGGTGCGACAGCCTTCGGGCTTGGGGCCGGAGTCACTCGACTCGCCAGCGGAATGTTGGCTGGCGCGAGGCAGACCATTGGCGGCGTGGCCGAGATCCCCGGGCCTGCCCGCCCACGCGTGCTGCCTGCACCTCAGCGGCCGCTGGAGCATGACAGCAAGGACAGCCAGCAGATGGACGAGCTCCGGCTGGCCAGGGAGCAGATCGAGTTCCTGACGAGGAGGACCGAGGAGCTCGAGAGGCAGCTTGGGGGCTACGCCACCCCAGGAGGGGCGAGCCTCGACGCGGGCGCGCCGACCGGCGGGCCGCCCAGCTCCCCGACGGATCGGGAAGAGCAGGGCCCTGCTGGTGAGGAGGAGGCGCGAGGACAGGATGAGGACCAACCCCCGGTGCAGGAGAGGCTTGCGCAGAATTCTGAACAGGGAGGCTGCAGCCATCAGGAACGTGGTCATGATCCTCCGGGACTTGCTGGCCCCTCCGAGGCGTCTGGAGCTTATCCTGGGCCTTGGCACCCAGGAGACTGGCAGTCAGGAGACGCATGGCCAGCAGGACCAGCAGGGCCAGGAGGAGTTTTTCAAGAGGAGCAGGAGGAGCAGGAGCAGGCGATCCAGGAGGAGGACGACCTGGCCCCTGTGGCCCCTGTGGGCCCTTGGGACACCCGGGAGGAGGGCCGCCGCCGCCGCCGCCACCCCCGCCTTTCGGCACAGGAGGCACGGAGACAGGAGAGCTGCCAGGCGACAGGACTGGCACGCTGACGGCGGTGCTGGCGCGTCTGAAGGACACCGACGTGCCGACCCTCGAGTGGGTCAAGGGCGTCGGTAAGGCATCGACGTTCGAGGACTGGCTCCAACGGGCCAGCATCAGGATCGGCGGACTTCATCCTGCATTGGAGGCCTTCTGGGCCAGGGCGCAAGAGTGTTGCGCGGTGGCCCACGACGAGTACCTGTCCCTGGACCTGCTGAGGAGGCCTCTCATCAGGCCAGCCGCGCACATGATGCCGGCGGAGTTGAGGAACGTTGAGTTGCGTCTCCGGCCTTTGCTGCTGGACGCGATGCCAGAGAACATCAGGAAGCAGGCCTTGGCGACCCGGCAGACCGCGGTCGCCGACATCCTCTTCGCGGCGATGGTCGAGGCGGGGCCGGGGACGTTGAAGGACCGCGAGGCCACGCTGAAAGCGGTGGAGAGAAGAGGCCAGCAGGCGTCCAACCAGGTCGCAGACGTGTACGAGAGCCTCCAGAGGTGGAAATTCGACCTCACCCGGCTGCAGAGGCTGGGAATGGCGGCGCCTGATCCCACCGTGCAGCTCTCCACGTTGAGAGGCATGGTGCGCCGGATGTCGGAAACCGACGGGTCTTTCGAGATGCAGCATGGGTTATCTGGGACTTCGTGCTGCAGCCAGGCGCAGGTCGACGAGTTCTGGCGCTACCTCTCGGCGGAGGCTAGAGAGGTCTGCGGGCCGGATGTGGCGGCGAAGAGCGTCAAGGCCAAGATCGCCGAGTACGAGAACAAGGGGAAGGACAAAGGTAAGGAGAAGGACAAGGGCAAGCCCAAAGGAGGAGGAACAGGAGTGCCGCCCAAAGGAAAAGGCAAGGATGACAAGGGCGAGCAGTCGCCATGCAAGTTCTTCCAGCAGGAGGGGGGCTGCCGTAATGGCGGCCAGTGCAGCCATCCGCACAGGCGGCTGGCTGTGTCGGAAGGCAAGTGTTTCAACTGCGGAGCGGTGAAGCATAAGACCGACGCCTGCCCTCGGCCGCGGCGCGAGGTCAGCGCCCGCTCAGCTGCTGCAGGACCCGCCCCAGGAGGAGGAGCAGCAAGAGGCGTTGACAGCAACGCCGCAGCAGGAGCAAGGACAGCTTCCGAAGGGCCGAACGGCCCGGACGCGCCTCCGCCCAGTGCGAACGTGGGCGCGGTGGTCGCAGCTACCATCAGGGCGCTGGCGAGCCAGGGTTTACCCGGAGCCCAGGAGAGCCGGGCGCAGGTGCAGGCGCCCACCGAGGAGGACCGGTGGCTCGACTCGCGGGCCGCGCCCCCGCGCGCCGCCCCTGGCCCGCGCGCTGCCACGGCCGCAGTGGTCGTAGAAGGAGGCGCTGAGGAGGCGGAGGGTCGTCGGATTGCCCCGCAGCCAGGAGGAGTCAGCGTCGGGGAGACCTCGACGAGGGCCGTGGCCATCGCGAAAGTTATGGTGATCAAGGGAAAGCGGATGCGGCTCGCCGACACGGGGGAGACCCATGAATTGAGGTCGATTCCGATTGGGAGCACGCTGGAGGTTCCCCACAGGAGCATTGAGCTGCAGGTGGCCACGGGCAGCATCAATGCGACCATCGGTGACGACGACATCGTCTACGTGCCGAGCGAGGTGGAGCTGCAGCCGTTGTTCCCCATCGGTGCCTACTTATATGAGTGCGATCTTCGCCTCGCGTGGAGCGCTGGGCAGGCCACGATCCGCCTGCCAAGTGGGCGAGACATGAAGCTTGAGCAGGTCAACGGGGCGTTGTACCTTGATGAGGAGACTGCGGAGCAGCTCAGGAGTTTGAGGAGGAGGCTTCGCCAGGAGAGAGGCCGTGCGCTGGTGCTGCGCGCGGTTGCGGCCGCAGTCAGTATCTCGGATTTGGCACGCCACAGGGCGGAGGGACATCCGAGGTTCATGCAGGAGTGCCAGGAATGCCGATTGGCAGCAGGGCGCATGAGGCCCCATTACCGTCTCGATCCCTCGACTCGGCCTGGAGGCCAACTGAGCGTGGACATCTCCGGTCCCCACCCGAAGGGATTATGGCCCAGTTCACTCGCCGAGGATGGCCCTAGGAGGGCTAGCTACTTCCTCCTGGCCGCATACCAGGTGCTGAACAAGCGCGAGGTGGAGGACCAGGAGCGCATGGTTAAGGATGCCAAGCGAGCAGCTGGGTTCGAGGGGCCCGCGGAGCCGGCGCGCGGCGTTGCTGATGCAGGCGCTGCCGAGGAGCGAGGGCCCGCAGGACAGGAGGAGGTTGAGGAGCAGGACGAGGTAAAGACACGGTACTACACGAAGCCATTGGAGGGGAAGGCCTCCAAGGACTGCACCGCGGCGATGGACGAGATCATCAGCGAGGTCAACCTGGAATTCCAGGGGCCTGCCGCGTTTCGGCTGCACGGCGACAAGGCCGGGGAGCTGACCGGGCGCGCCGTCAAGGGCCACATGGCGTCCAGGCACCACATCGCAGTGACGTCGACGGCTGGAGGCGAGCCCAACTCCAATCCCAGGGCCGAGCGCGGGGTCGGAGTGGTCAAGACCAGAGCACGCGCAATGCTCATGGCCGAGGGCCTCAATGCTGAGGATCGGCAGGCGCTCTGGCCGGCAGCTGTCCCGCATGCCGCGTGGTGCCAGCGCCGGGAGGCCCAAGGGCGAGGCTTCGGAAATTGCCCGCCCTTCGGAGCAGCGGTGACGAGCAGGATCAAGGACGCCCGGGGCAGTTTCGAGCCTCGAGCGCGCGAGCAGTGCTTCTTCGGGGTGGCTGACGGTGTGAGTGGCGGATTTCTTCTTGGACGAAAAGGGGCTGCTGGCTGGGTGTTCGAGGTCTCGTCCAGCTTCGTGCTCAACCTGAAGGCCCACGAGGCCCAGGGGGAGGATGAAGCCCAGGAGGAGGATAAGCAGGCTGAGGAGGATCGCGCCCAGGATGAGGAGGAGAAGCAGGACGAGGCGGAGAAGCACGCAGAGGACGCAGCAGCACCAGGAGGAGGCAGCGGGGAGGACATCTTCGAGGTTCAGTCCGAGGAGCGAGCGTTCTCTTGTCCGGCGTGCCGGGGCCGCCATCGAGCGCACACCCGGGATGAACGATGCCGTCTGGGAGCTCGTGCTGCGAAGGTGATGCCAGCGAGGAGGAGGGCACAGGAGGATGTCGAGGAGAAACCGATGAGGACTGCACGTTCGGTCGTCGGTACCCCCGTGAGCCTCCTCATGCACTACGACAGCATGAACATGCACGTCCCATTTGCTGGCGTTGCTGACGCACGAGATGGTGGAGACCTGGACGACGCGCCTCCGGAATACCACGACTTCGTGAAGGACTCGGCCATGCAGATCGTCAGTGTCGCGGACGTGCGGAAGGCGTATGGCCAGGAGCGCGAGGAGTGGAAGCTCGCGTTGGAGCATTAGCTTGGGTCGCTCCGTGAGACTGACTCCTACGAGGAGGTATCGCCCGCGGAGCGGGCGGCAGTTTCGCCGCGAAAGGTCTTGCCGATGAAGGCGGTGGCAGGAGTGAAGGCCCCAGATCCGACGGGGAACAGGAGGAAGAAGGCTCGGGGGGTCATCTGCGGGAACCACCAGGAGCGCGGCGACGGCGAGGAGGTCTACGCGGCGAACGTGGACATCTCCTCGGCGAGGACGGCCCTGGCCGTGGCAGCGCACGAGGGTTGGGCCGTGGGCGCCCTGGACGCCAGCACGGCGTTCCTGAACGCGGAGCTGCCCGAGGAGGTCGGCGAGGTCATCGCGAGGCCGCCGAAGATGTTCGTCGAGAGTCCGCGAGGCCGCGAAGATGTTCGCGAGGCCGCCTGAACGCCGGCGAGGTCATCGCGAGGCCGCCTCTGCAAGCCGGACGAGCTGTGGAGAGTGAAGCAGGCGATCTACGGATTGCGAGTGTCCCCACGGGCATGGGGCATCAAGCGGGACAGCGACTTGCGCGACGTGCGGGTGCAGCACGGCGGCATTGACTGCAAGCCCGTGCAGTCACTGGTGGACCCCTCGGTGTGGTCCGTGGTACCGGTCATGGAGCCGAGGGTGGAGTCCGAGCGCAAGGTGCTGGGGTACGTGTTGGTGTACGTGGACGATTTCCTCATCCTGGGCGCCGGGCAGCTGGTGGCAGCGCTCACGCGCGCGTGCCAGTCCCTCTGGAAGTGCAGCGTCCAGAACATGGTCAGTTTTGGTGCGCCTGGCGAGCTCAAATACCTTTCGCTCACCATCGAAGCGAGGGCCGACAGCTTCTTGATCCACCAGCGGGAGTACATTTCAGACCTGCTAGAGAAATGGGGGCTGGACAAGGCCAACGGCACCGGCACGATGCGGTTCGAGCCGACCGGGGGCGAGGAGGAGGCGGGGGAGCCGGAGGTGGGGGACGTGAGACTTGCTCAAAGGATGTCGGGGGGCCTCCTGTGGCTCAGCAGCCGGACCAGGCCTGACATAGCATTTGTAGTGTCCCGCATTGCCTCTGCTGCCTCTTCGCGCCCCCTCTGGGCGCTTCGCCTGGGTAAGCGTGTGTTCAGGTATTTAATTAGCACTCGTACCTGCGGGCTGTTGTATAAAGCTGGGACGGGTGAGTTACGTCTGGAGACTTTTGCGGATGCTAGTTTTGAGCCCGACTGCAGCCAGTCGGGTGTAGCAACGTACGTCTGCGAATGTTTGGTCGACTGGAGGTCGATCAAGCATGCGCAGCCTGCCCGGTCGACGGCCGAGGCTGAGATCACAAGTTTGGCCATGGGTTGCATCATGATGGAAGGCACCGACCGAGGCGGTGCTAGGATCGATGTTCGTGCGACCAGCGTCAATGTGCTTGTAGGGCGACAACAGCGCGTCGCTCGCAATAGCCATGGGCCAAGGCTCGTGGCGCACCCGCTGCCTAGCCAACAGGGCCAGCGCTCTGCGCAGCAGGCTGCACCAGGGGACCTTGCAGCTTGGGCACGTCCCCACTGCGGAGCAGAGGGCGAACGGCCTGACAAAAACTTTGTCTGTCCCTGGCATGGCTCGCACGCGCTCGGCATTTGGACTCCGGGCGTAAGCGGCGAGTGTTTTCAGAGAAGCCATTTTGGCTGGAGTGTGGGCGAGATGCTGCCCCGCGATCCCACGGACCGAGTCCGTGCGACTCCGCGCTCGGCACAGGCCGCGGCGGAGAGGAGGAGCGTGGATTGGGGAGCGTAGCATCAGCATCAGCAGCATATGGGAGAGCATGCTGCGCATGGAATGAATTTGAGTTCCAGCACGCGTAGATACAAGTTCCCGTGGTGCTGCCCCTATGTCTGCACGCGTAGTGACAAGTTCCCGTGGTGCTGCCCCTAGCACGCCGGAGAGAGGAGGAGTGGCGTAGTTTCCGGAAGATCTTTATCCCACAAAGTGGGATAACGCATGTTGACCGTGGGCCGACTTTGGCCTTGGTTGGCACGATAGCTTGCACCGCCATGTGTCTCAAGATCTCTGGGGGCTCAGCGGCAACGCCGCCTCAAGGGGCGGGTTGCAATGTATTTTGCACTCTAGGTCAGCAGCTTCAGGCCGATGTTCGCCGTAACGCTGCACTTTTGGCTCAAGATGGAGCGGTCTGAGGAAAAACATCCTTTGCCCGTCCCGGTGAGGAAGAGGGGTCAGTCTCAGCGGCGACGCAGGCTGCTCCTCCGATTCTCCATTTCTTACAACACCCTCCTTAGGTTGAAACTCAGGATCCCTATAGACAGCAGCCTCCGCCATGCTCTGCCCATACCCCCGGCAGAGGCCCATCGACTGTTGAGCTTGATAGCTCAGGGAACCCCTCTCGACGACGTTGCCCACGAGGCTGAAGAGCAACAGTTTTGAAGATGGCATTTGATGAGTCGATCGTGCCCCATGCAGGGCCAAATGAGAGGAGAGCCCTGCGAAGTTTTCGAGAGGGGGGGGTTCGAACCGGTAGAGACCCCCGCAGGTTTTCGAGGGGGTGGGGGGGGTATCGAACCGGTAGTGACCCACCCCCCCGGTAGTGACCCCCCCCCCCCGGGGGGGGGTCGAACCGGTAGTGACCCCCCCCGGTTATCCGAGGGGGGGGGGTTCGAACCGGCAGTGACCCCCCCCCAGTTTTCCGCCAGCAGCGGTAGAACACGCTCTTTCCCAACTGTCGACAACGGCTGCCGGAAGCTCTCTGCACTCGGCGGCCCCGGCGGGCCCTGAGAGGGCCCTCGAAGGGCCTCGCCAGAAAGCGTCTACGAAATAGCTCAAGCCACGCGTGACTGGTACGCGATAGCATGCGCAACATGCAAAATGAATGCCTCGCATTATGCGCCAGCACGCTTTAAGATGCGCCGGGAAACCACCGCGCGGCAGGGCGCGCCTGCACACTGAAACCATCAAAAAACATCAATTTCGTTTGGAATGGATTTCGGCGCGCGCCCCTTTTCGTCTCCAAAGAAAAAGCCATTACGAAAACAGGGAAAAAAAAGGCGAAAACTAACGGTATGGGAACCCTTTCCTCATGCTTGGACGCCCAGGATAGGTACGGAAAGAGTGGGTACGATGCCAAACAACAAATGCTGTCCAAAACCGGCGGCGGCCGCTGTTGGGCAGGTGGCCTTCTGACTCAAAATGGACCACGTCCGCGGCGGCGCGGACCGCGAATCCTGTTCAAGACGAACAGGAACTGATGTTGGACTTTGTACCCAATGTTTCCGTACCCATTTCGATCGTCCCGACTGGTGATCTCATCCCAGACCTCCGACGTCTCGATTTTCCGAGACACGGGCCCCCGACCTCCCGACCACTTCCCCGGGACCGGTTTTTCATCCCGAGTCGTTCTTGGACGGTCCCGAGGCCCAGCGAGGGCCCCGAGAGGTCGAACACAACGAAAACCCTCCGTCTCGATTTCTTCGGGACGCCCGACGTCTGGGATTGTGCCCGTACCCGTCTCGATCAGCTCGATCCTCCTTCCCAGACCCCCGACGTCATGATTTTTTCACGACGTCGACCCCAGGGGTCTGGACCCCTTCCCCAGGACTGGTGTTTCATCCTGCGTCGTTTTTTGACGGTCCCAGGGCCCGGCGAGGGCCCCCGGATGCCGAAAATAGCAAAAAACCTCCCGTCGTGATGTTTTCATGACTCGAGGGGGTCTGGGTTCTGATCCTCCCAGGGTGAGGCGGCGACCGGGGTCGGGGATCTTCTGACCCGGGTCCATCCAAACCCAGGCCAGTCAGGCCTTGCGGAATCCTGCAAGATCCTGCAAGACCCTGCACCCAAACCCGGGTCAACGCGAAGGATCCTGCATGGTCCTGCAAGACCCTGCACCCTAACCCGGGCCAGTGCGCCCCTGGCCTCTGCGGAATCCTGCAAGATCCGGCGCTCTGGCTGACCCCCGTCTGCAGTGACCCCCGTCTCAAGGCTCCCGACGTAGGGAGGCACCAACTATACACCAACACCGATCCTGGCCAGGATCAACCTGGGCCCAGGATCGGTGTATACGCCCTCCTGCCATGGGCAGAATGCATATACACCGATCCTGGGCCTAGGATCGGCCTGGGCTGGATCGGTGTAGGGGTATAGTTGGTGCCCTCCGACGACGGGGCCCGGCGGGCAGATCCCCGGGGGGGCGTCTGAGGCCCGCTGCCACGCAGGGGTGGAGCACGCGCTGGGTGCAGCGGGCCTCCGCCGCCGGGGCGGGGGAAGGCAGGGGGAGGAAGGCAGGAGGAGGGAGGGAAGCGGGGAGGAGGAGGAGGAGGACGGGGAGGGGGAGGACGAGGAGGAGGAGGAGGAGGAGGAGGAGGAGGAGGAGGAGGAGGAGGAGGAGGAGGAGGAGGAGGGGGAGGGAGAGGAAGAGGAAGAGGAAGAGGAAGAGGAAGAGGAAGAGTAAGAGGAAGAGGAGGAGGAGGAGGAGGAGGAA